AATATTTTATCGTCTGCATCACAAGATTTTAGGAATATTTTGAATATTTTGATTGTAAAAACGAAAGCGTAATGAATTTAAGTAATATAAAAAAATCTTATTTTGACTCTCCTGAAAAGTCGGGTTTTGTGCTTTACGTCAATTGAAATTACAAGTATCGAATTATGTTCGTTTCGTATCGGCATGCTATTGTTATGTATCCCCATCCACACTATGGAGCGCGAGTGGCTCCCACTTTCGGCAGTGTTACCCGAAAGATGTACGTCTGTTGTCAAATCAGAACTTAAGTGTGGAAAGCAGTTGTGCCTATCACCTCCCCTACTCCATAAGCTGCTTTGGAATGCTTATATAAGTGCGATCAAAAATTATAGAAAAATATTTGCGCGTTGTACAAATATTGCCTACCATACCATTTTCCACTGCTACACCAGAAAGGACGTTTTCAAGCCTAAGGAGACTTAAAAACTACTTGCGGAACAAAACCAGTAAAAACAGACTGAACTGCTTGGCTCTCGATGAATGAATATTTACTATGGGATAGAAATTGATGTGAATGAAGAAGTGAATATATTTAAAAAGAAAAACAGAAAATTAATACTGCTCAAAATCAAATGAACCTTCTATTTCTTTTTAGGGTTCCGTTCCTTAAAAGGAAAAAACGGAACCCATTTAGGATCACTTTGTTGTCCGTCCGCCCGTCCGTCCGTCGGTCAAGACCATTTTTCTCAGGAAAGCGTGGAGATACCAAATTGAAATTCATATCTAATACTCATGTGTACTGTCCCTTGGAGCTGTGAAAAAATCAAATTTCTGAGCCAAAGCAATCAAAAGATACAGCCGTTTATGCCGCAAATTTCTGCAAGTCAGATTTTCCAGGTCCAGTTTTCGACTACACAAACACACATGAAACATTAAGTATATCGCAACACAATATCAATCAGACAGATTTCTATACTTTGATATTAACTACTTAGTCTGGCCATTAATACTGTTACATGAAAACTTTTATTTTTTTCAACTTTTTAATTATTTTTAATTTGGCATACGTATATTATTTTAAAAACTTCTTTCGATTTTGCGCCATTTCACATATTTTGTCGTGTTCATTATTAAATTACAATATGGAATGGGGTGTTAAAGAAAATAGGATTGCAGTGATCGCCTTGCACAAATTGGGTATGGAGCCGTCGGTCATATTCCAGACACTTCAAAAGCTTGGTATCAGCCGTATGTTCGTATATCGTATTATCAACAGATTCAATAACACTCCGTCTGTCGAAGACCAGAAAAGATACAAAGATGTCGATTCTGGCGTGATTCTCTAAACTTAAAACTAAATTTAACATCAGTCTCTCCTTTTCATTCTGTATAGAGAATGACAAGGATATACTGTTGTCAAATTTAAGTTTAGGTTTAGAGAATCATGCTAGAATCGACACCAAAGGCTGATAATGCTATTAAAATGTTGAATTCGTCGAAACCCCATTAAGAAGTAAAAAATCTTATCGCGAGAAATGAAGATTACCGCTAGGACTCTGTCGTGTATTATAAAATAAGACCTGAAGCCTGGTGCTTATCGTCGATATACAGGACATGCCCTAAATCAATCTTTACAATCAAAGATAGTGGATCGATCAAAACGCCTTCTGTCGCGATACGCAGGTGAAAAGCATAGAAATATCCTCTTTACACATGAAAAAAATTTCGCTATTGAAGAACACTACAAAACAAAATGATAAAGCTCATATTTCTAAAGAAGCTGCTCAAGTGGTCGGAAACGAACAACGTGCTCATCATCCTGCTTTAGTGATGGTTTGTTGGGGCGTGTCTGACCAAGGAGTCACAAAACTACATTTTTTGTGAAAAAGGAGTGAAAACTTGAGCCAAAGTGTATCAAGATACAGTCTTGGATCATGTTGTGAAACCTCTCAGCAAATCACTTTTTAAAAATATACCGTAGACTTTCCAGCAGGATTCTGCACCTGATCACATGGAACTCTGGCGCGGGTTCCTTCTGATCAGGTGTATAGGGCAGGAGGACGCAGGCGCAGGATTGCAAGATATTGGTAATAGTCAATAGTCGTAACGCCTTAAAGCGCGGAGCAGTGTCGGTGATGGGCGTCGGGCAGGGTAGCGGATGACAAACACACAGCTGGTTAGTCGGACTCCTCACAAGAATAAAGCTCTCTTCGCTTATGCTGTCCTATTTTATTCACTTGATTAAAAAGGTGAGATTGTGAATTATAAAAAAATTAACGCAACTACTAATGTGTACATATTAACTTAAAACACGTCTGAACTCCTCAGAGGTCCGGGTGGAAGGGGGTTCGAGAAAAAAAGTATTATACAACTTTTCCGACAACAATACCGAAAACAAACGCGATCGGCAAATAATTGTATGGAAAGCGCGGGAAATTATTAAGTTCAAACTACGAATGAGCGCGCCTCTTTTTTTCACATTCAGTCTAATAGGGGAACATTCATTTATTACGTAGGTACTTCTATCAACAATTCTATTGTTGATCGAAGATTACGTAAGACTATTTTTACGCTAGTTTTTGACCCCCTCCTGGCTGACCCTGTTTAATATTTACTATGTAGTGTACGTTAAAATCTCAAGGAAAAATGAATACACGTTTGGTTTGTTTTTCAAAGTAACAATTTTAAGAAATGTTTTGGTACTAATGAACTTTGGTTTTCATGATTCATCTTTACTTTTTACCACTCTAGCGGGTGGCGCGGGTTCGTTGCCATGAAAATCGTTAACCTATATGAACCTCGGCACTCACGCGGTTGCTCACGCTTTTTCAAAATATAATTTTAACTTTGAGCTTTTTTATGATCTTACGTAAGAACTATCGAGGCACCCTCCCATACCCTTGTTAGTAAAAATAAGACATAGTCGACCCCCCTAAATAACCTTACGTAATAAATGAATGGCCCTATATTAGTTAATTTAAAAATAGAAGTGTACTATGTTTAAAAATTTATTTTACGTTACAGCTAGCAGCAGTACTGTAATAAGTTCTATTATTTATATACTTCGGGACACATCTATCGGCCCACCTAGCATTTTAAGTTCTGACGGTCCCTGGCTAAAAATAAATATTACATTGAGCAAAAAGTTGTTAGCTATGCAGTTTTGAAGCTAATTTTGAAACAATCTTTTTGTGTTTTTAAAATTATTGCTCAACCATATACATATATTTTTGTTGTAACTTATAACACTAAGTGGGCCGATAGATGATCCGAAAGTATAAAATCCTTCTTCTTGAATCACTATCTATTAAAAACAACTCCTAAATTTTCACCAAAATTATTTCTTCTTATATTTATTTATTTTATTTATTTAAACTTTATTGCCACAATTACAAAATGGACAAAAGGCGGACTTAACGCTAAAAGCATTCTCTGCCAGTCAACCTTCAGGAGTACAGAAAGACACGAATGCGGGTTATAAACTCTCTATATTTACGTGTAATTAATTGATGATTATGACATCAAGTGTTTGTAGACTGGTATGTAGCTTGGTATGTAGAGCCAATTGTCAGCAGATTTAGCACCACAGTTCTTCAAAAATCTTCATTAAGAAAATTAACACAGCTCTGGAGGATCCAGGTGCACCTTGTATCCAATAATTATGATTTTACCGACATGATGGGCCCAGGTGGTGGAAAAAGGGAAGAAAGATTCATTGTGAAACTATTGTAAGGGATCTAGAGGATGGAGGGAAGTTTTCTGCAATAAATAAATGTGTTGTTAGTGAAAAATCGTATTGGCAATGTTAGTAAAAATAAAAACTGCTTTTATGTTCCTGAAAATTTAATGACTTTAATAGAAGAATAACTAAATTAAAACAGCAAGATAGAAGAAAAAAATCATTCATTATTAACATCATCTTTTATCTGATTATGTTCAAGCGAAAAGACCAAAATTAATCAATGACCTAACAAAATATACAACAAAAGTCATTAAATAATTAAGTCCAACCAATCAGTTAACTGCGACAACGATCGAACCAATACTACTGTTTCAACTCGACCATTAAAATGAACTAGTTACATAATACAACTTACAATTTTGAATAATATTGTGATTAAAAGAAAAAGCTAAATAATTCTTTCCTACTTATATAATGTGTAATAATATAAAGTGTCGACTACTTATAATATGTATAACTATATTTAAATTTTCACACATAGAGCGGGGCGCGAGGCGAGTAGTCTCGCCGCACGCTCCACGCTCGCCTTATGCCGATACACACCACAATCTCGCTAAACACTAGGTCACTTATGCCGAATGTTAGACAAATAAGAAAGCGACGACTTCCCAAACCAAAATTACAGTACTAACAATTTGCAGACGATGTCGATTCATAGTCCCGGCGGACTAATTCGTCGCGTCCTCGATCAATTAGCTCACGATTGTTATCGCGATCGTGTCGAGCGCGCTGGGCTCTCCGTCGGTCGGAATCCTAACAATGTAGCTTTTTTTGGAGTTTTAATTTTTTAAAATATATAGGATTTGTTTCTATATTTAATTATATCTAATATTTACAATGGAGGTGAACGGACAATATTCAAACTCTACTTATGAATAAACCTCGAAAATTAATCCAGAAATTCCTACCCGAAACGAACGTTATCTACAAGTTTTTATTAATCGAAATATTTAAAATTAAACTCTCGCCACAAATTAAAAGTCTAAATAATTGTGCAGATCGAGTTTGCGTGTCCGCAGTTGCGTCATTTAAATGTGAGCGAATTAAGTTAACGTTGCTGAAAATAAAACATCAGTCAGTATAAAGATTGATCAATAACAACATCGATCCGTCCTCGAATCGTCAAGTCCGACGCGGTCCGTGGACGCGAAACGTAAATGAGAGACACAAACTCGATCCAATATTTATTTAGAGTAAATCAATAAAGGTATTAATTAATGAATGGTGTGACGTGTGAGTCGAGGGGCGAGGGGTGAGGGTCGAGACACAGAGGCAGTGCTCATATCTTGTGTATCTTTTGGGAGACGACGACGGGGTTGTTGCGGCGGATCTCCTGCGCGCCCAGCTCCCGGTAGTCAAACGAGCACTCGTGCTTGTCGCTGTACCGGTGCACGGCGCAGAACAGGCCCCCGCATCGACACTCAAACCCTGCAAACAACAACACAAATTTATATATAAATTATTTATTATTTAATGAAAATGTATGAACACGCATAACTTCCGAACGACTGCACCAAATTGGATAGGTAATTATTTTTTCTTGTGTTCGTTATGTTTGTATATTTTATTTAAATATAATGGTATAAAGTCACCCTGTCAGCTAGGAAATAATAAATAATTAGGTATTTCGAACACTCAACATCCTTTCCAAAATATGGAAGAGTACAATATGATAAATTTTTGGTCACCGTTCTATGGAGGTGACCAAAAATAAAGTAAAATTCGCAATGGTTGGTCCATTACGAATTTTGCTTTATTTTCCACAATCGCAAGCCGAACGCGATAATCACCTGCGCCATCGATCTCCACAACGATTTATAACGTTTTTTTATAATATAATGAGTAAAGATATCTACCGTTATCAATTATGATGTGATGACCGGATGACGTCTACAGTCACGCATTTTTTAAATAACCAATTATGAGAGACCCTTACTTGTCTCTGTGCAAGAGGTAATCTAATTGTTTAGCAAACAGACCTAATTTTAGGTTCGTCCGCGAAAAGTCTGTTATCAGAAACTTTCTAATAAATAATACTGGAGAGTCATTTAAAAAGTTTTTACGAAATTATTTATATTACTTAATAGGTACAAAATAATATACCCAAATGTTTGTAATAGGAAACTATTTTATTTATACCAGTTCCATGCGTGTCGATATTGACAATCTTTTACCCACTTCTACACCACATCCACTTCCTGTTAATTAGATATAGTTTATAATTATATTTTTTTTACCAGAACAACATCGTGGTCATCAAAAGGTATGTTTCGTAAAGTAAATACATGCATAAAGTGAAATAAAAATATCAAAAATAATTTATTTAAAATTTTACAAATTTGATAGTAGGTACCAAACAAAAAATTGTTCTCTTTCAAATATAGTCATTTTCCTTAACATGTTCATCATATCATCATAAATTAATTTCGTGTGTGAATGTGATAAGCATGTCAGTGTTTTATCTCACACACACGATATTGACTTAACCAGCGATAGCACGCGGTGGATATTCACACAGAACGCAGTCCAATCGCAACGCAACGGTGCTTGGAATAATTCTTGAAATTGCCTACAGTACAATGGATTAATACAACGAAACCATTTAGATATAAATTATCACCATGTATTTTTAGATTGTAATAATGATTTTGTTTCTGGTGAACCTAATAAATAAAGGAATAGTATGTTTCTATACTATATTTAAGTAAGTATGCATTATGGTCTGTCTTCATCAAATAAGTACTAAGAGGGGGCTTTCATCTTGTAAATTCTTTAAAACATTGCTTTAATCGATTGTAATTAAGAGAGATACAAAAATTGTTTATGCTCTACAAATTGGATGAAAACAAATTATACCTATCTTCGGATTGTATAAAAATGAAGTATTGGATGAAAACATATTATACCCCTTCTTTAGCTAGATATTGAAAGGAAACTACCTCTATCATTTGCAACAATTACAAGTTGTAAAAATGTTACGACTATTCAAGGAGTTCGTTCTTAATTCTAATTAAAGAAAAGTATTTTCCATTTATTTTAATCTGATCTCTGATCCATCCGTAGATAGTTTTTTATTAGGTTTACTCTCCATTCATGTTCGTGCATTACACTACAAAGATGTAGGTAGCGCAGTTACATTAAAATCAAGACGTGCATAAACCAATAACAAAAGTTCAATAGTTTTTATCACGTATGTCATTGAATGCAAATATGATAATAAGCTAAGAAACAAATACATTAATCGCTTACAAAACAATAATATTGAATTGTTAATGTACTTAAGTCGAACGTCGTATTCGTCAGTATTATTAAAATACGATTACGCATGGAATTTTACGGAAAAGTACCCATAAAGATACTGGTACGTACAAATAGTTATAATAACAATGTTTTTCTATTCAAATAGAACGAAATTAACTTTTATTTTATACTTTTTGGCACTGAGTTTTCTAGTATGTAATAGAAACTTTTTGGCACTGAGTTTTCTTGTATGAAATAGAAAGACTGCTAAATTCAAACATTAAAACAGTTCTTTGTGACAGTCTTAAAACGGGCTCAGCTATGTTAAAAGTTTAAATCTAACTTTTTCGTAGTGACTAGAATGGGAACAAATATAAAAATACCATACATAACACAATGACATAGTTATTAACTACATGGGCATCCTTAGTATGTTTATAGTTGTGCAATATTCCCTATATATTTCAGAGTGATTCCCATGACAAATAACAATAAAATGAGCTAGACTCGATACGCAAGTAAAAAAAAGATAAAATTACATTTTACCGTTAATCAATAAACATTCGTTTTGATAAAAAAATAAGATTTGTTAATATTTCTATAAATTATAGCCATGTACATGACTTTGTTAATTAAAATAAATAACTAAAATATAAATTTCGTTTGCTCGACGAAACATTTATCTTAATCTACCATTATGACAAACAAACCGTGCTGGTGACGACTGATGACTGACCAATGTGATACATTGGTAACAGTTCCATCAACACTGTACTGCAATTTGCAAATCCTTAATATTTATTAGATTATAGAAAAATAGAATACAGCCGGGGATTTGTATCGCATTTAAAAACCTTGAAATGCATACAGACATGTATTCATATAATTATGATTTCATCAACCGCCTGCATTGAATTAAAACTAACGGTCAAAGTGGTAGACAATAGCACAAGAGTATTTACTGACAAAATGCTTCAAATGTATATTTGAAGAATGTCTACTTTATAATATGCTCTTCTCATACACCCTTGGGACTTGATAGATGGAATATCCATTAGTTGGATGATTAGTGCATGCCCATTGCGTCACGCACATCTAATAAGTCACGCCCGGATGATTCCATGATAAAATGTCGCCGGCCAACGTGCAGACCACGTGATAATCAGCGGGGTTATATCTTTAGCTTGACGTCGCTTCGTCTAGTATGTGATTTATGCGATAACGATAGTACGTAATGCCTCAACTTTACGCAGGCGGAAAAGTTATCAAAGAACGTAACTTTTTTCGAAATAGACACGCATGCGTGCGTCCGCGTGATTCCTAGTGGAGTGGTGACGTACACGTAACTGAGGAAAGACCGAGGAGCTCGAGGGCACAGGCAGTGGATAAGCGTTCGGCCTACGATTGCACAGATTAAGCAAATTAAACAATAGTCCTTCATCTAATGGTATTTTCCATATAAGATTTTATATCAAGTTACATCTGTTGGTCATAAAAATAGACATAAGAGAATGGACTGGGCAGTTTCATGCGAAGTGTCATGAAACTGATAACAAGCGATGGTGCGGCGAATACCTATACCCAAAGTGATAAGCCAAACTGTCACACGAACGCTTCGTCTCACATTTATCTATCCAATTTTACTTTATAGTTGGACAGGGAACGCATACCTAGTCCATTCTTTATGTATATTCACCCAACCAACGCCCACAAATTTAAACCACTATTTGATCTCGATACGCGTCAAATGTCAAGCAGTTTTGTCTTGAAATTTGAACAGCGCCACAACGAACGTAACGAGAATTGAAAATGTTCCATACAAAACTTGTTGTCATAAGAAGTGTAAGTGTCGTGATAAAATTCGACAATTCGAATTCGTTATTGGTTCGTGCTAAGGGTACTGTGCGAGGCCCGAGTAGACGCCGCAAAGTAAAGCCATAAATGTAGTCCCTATGATACGAGATTACGTAGTTGGGAGACTATTAGTAGATCGTTTATAGTGTGTAATCTTTTTGTAATAAAGAGTTATTATCATTCTTTGGTAAATTATTTTTATTCTCAGTACCATAGGTACTATGGTAAATAATATGGTGGTGAGAACCGACCACGGGCTACGCCAAGTAAGTCGGTTGACCGTTTCCTTGTGTATTGTATATGGGTGTTTGTGTGGTTGATGTGAGGAATCACTTATCAATAAATATTATTATTAAAAAAAATTGCTACGCTGTACTGACCTGTGAGGCCAACCTTCTTGCGGCAGACGGCGCACCTGTTCTTTTTCTTTTTGTCCTTGCTGGGGTCCTTGTCGTCCGCGTCCGTGTCCGAGGTGCCGGTGCTGGTGCCGCTCGTGCCCGCCCCACTCTCCTCCTCCAATTTCTGGAATTCAAACCAAAGAACTAATTAAACAATGCAACAAATCAAAAAGAAAAGGTTGAAGTTGGCATTGTTATTATTACAACGTTACCAGACAGATCTATTAATATTATAAACTGTTTTACATATTGGTTTCGATTTTGGCATGATTCTCTAAACTTAAAAGTAAAAACAAATAGAAAAGTATTTAGAGAAGGTAATGGTTTCTAGTAATTATTGTTTAGTTCATGATTTGTTTTTTTTGTTGGAATTTGAATGTTATAAGTTACTTTTAAGTTAAAAGCGTTGTTTGCAATGTCCGTAAAGGACGATTAAGATGTAAGTACCTGCCTCAAATTTTATTTTTATTATTGAAAATCTCTGTACACTTGGTCTGGAATAAAGAATTTATTGGATTTCTAGAAAAACTACTATTTAGTTCCTGTTTCTAATGAGATGTACTGAATCTCCGATGGACAGAGAATCGAAGATTTTAATACATTTCTACATAATCTTTACAAACCCACACTTGTATTTTGAAGTTGATAAAAAGATATATCCACAAACCTAAAATGCATTAAAAGGTCATTATCATACAATGTTCTAGACCAGTCGATGAGTAACAAACAATGAACTAATTACGAAACTAGAGTAGGACAGAAGTCTTCAATATAACGAAATATTTCGATTCCTTTTAACCCGATTTAATTGGAGCGCAGACTACTAGTAAAACACTGTTATCGGGTCACTATCTATATACTAAGGTACAGGCCCGGATAGAGATGCTATGCTATATATGTGAGTAAAGATGAAAAAACCGACCCTCTTAAGATTTTTTTTCATCGGTTCTGGCTCAGAATAGCGTTCGCTTTGTTTTTCAAGCCTCGGTGAATTTTTGGATTTGATGCTCCCTTTGGACATGCTGGGTGCTTCTTCGAAAAACTCGTTTTTATTTTCCTGTATTTCGACAATCTTCTTCAATTTCACCTGGTCGATGGGAGCATTTTGGCCGAGTGATAGTTTTTCCTCAGTTTTCTGCCTCTGGCTAGGCTCGCTGTGCTCGATTGTTTCTTTGGTTCCATCGGGCGTCGGCAGCGGGGTGCTGTCATTTATTTGGATGGACATGTGTTTGTTTTCGAAACTCTTCGAGCGAGACACACCGACTGTTTGTTCCATGGCAGAACTCTGGCTATTGTTCGAAGCTTTGCTGTTGCGACGAATCGCTTTCTTCAGTATCCTTTTGACTTTCGACTCCTTCTTGCTAGGATCATTTTCCATCATTGAAATGATATTTTCTTCGTATTGGACATTTTGTTTGTAAGTTCAAGTTCAATTAATTGTCTTCACCAACACGATATTATTGTCCGATACTATAGTTAAATTATAAGATAAAACATTTCACGTTCGCCCTTCCTCACCACACGTAAAAACAGTCTATGTATATTAACCCCTCATCTCAAAACACCGTCTTGGAGATAAAAGGGAATAAAAAAAACTCACATTTTTAAAGCTACCACCATAAAAATAATATTCTATTTATTAAGTTTTTGTAAATTTCGAGAAATAACGGTTATGAAATATTTTTTTTTATATTTTGACTTTAGTGAATAAGGATGTCAACTTGACACACATTTTGTTGTTTCATAAAGTAAGTTAACAGTCATAAATGTAAAAAGTTTTCATTACATTACCTACACGCGGTGTCTCCGAGTTGTATATAATTATGTAGTACCTATGGATGGTATTAACAACTTTTCTGCGGCAACACTATAATATCCTGTTTGTAATAAAATCAACTTTATTTTAATGTATATTTTGATAAGAAAGCAGATCGCTGCAATCAAGTTACCTGTTCATATCTGATTGTCGGGTAAGAGTGAACAAAAAAGCCGACTATACTACCTTTTTTATTTTCCATAAACAGCAAATTTTTTATTTATATTAAAATTATTCGGTAAGAAACATGAACAAAAAATTTACTCATAAGTCATGAAAAAATTGTAAACAACTCCATTACATTTAAGTAATACCTTCTAGAACTAGCTGCTACTAAATCAAGTTTATCTATCTGTCCTCAATTTCTCAACAGAATAAATATTGTTCCGGTCTGCATTTTAAGTATGAAACTTACGAGGCGAGAGGACCATAGCACAACAAATCATTACCGATCGTGAAGCTTTATATTATATATATATATATATATATATATATATATATATATATTTACATCTTCTAAGACTTCTTGCATCTTTACAAACTGCCACCCTGCGGCGTCCACTGTACTCGACGCGATTTTGAATGTTTTAAATGCGTATTTAAGTAGCTATTATTATTATAATTTCTTGAGTCTACGCGAAATTGCATTAAAATATAAAATGCCAATATTCGATTTTAATATTTCCCGGTAATTTAGCGCATCCGTTCACCACCATAACCATACAGCACACTGAATATTTACGTATACCTTCTATGCACTGCTTAAATGCTCCTACCTCCGTCCAAACTTATGTTTAAATTGATTCTGCATAATACGATTTATTTTTACAAAGTTACGTCCCTCAATTTTTAAAAAGAGAGTTACTTCTGGATACTGAAGGTAATGTATATCAATAATATTCATCCTGCTAGTCCACCGGCTTCCAGGTACACCAGTACTTATACTGTCTTTGGAGTAGGAAATAAGTAGCTACAATTACTTATTTATGTTCAAAGCTTGATCGTTATTTTTGAGTTTTACACAGGTCAGTCGGGTAGACAGGGAAGTTCTTTTTTTATTATATCTTAAAGTTTACATTGGTCCGTACCTTATTGTCTTTATATTTTTATTCATTAAAGTCATGATCATATTTAAGATAACTTTTTTAGCTCGGCTGGTCTGAAATTTCAAGAGTACCGGTGGGTTGGTTGTCCCTTGACCCTGTATTTTACGGACCCAACGACAATATAGTCGTGCTCTGTGTACATCGTCGACAACGGAGTCGGAGGGATCCACCAAGGATAACTTAGAATACTGTCCGTTCCGGTGTCTTGCCTGATGCTAGTACTGCCAAGAGTTGTCCAATGGCAATCTGTAAGGTTTTCAGTGGGAAGGCTTATGATCAGACACTGAGCTTGGCCGCAAGTCTAGGTGTATTATTCATTTTTCCCAATGTAAAAATTAGTCAGGTTTATTGTGGGTATCCATAATAAATCCTTGTATAAAGGTAATTTGAAAGCAATAAAAGCTACCCAGCCTTGTCGCTTGTCTTGTACGCCCAGCAATGTTGACAAAGACACAAATACTGCTGAAACAGGATACCTTAACTATCCCGGCTACGTGTTTAAAGAGTCCTTTAAAGCGAAAGCCGCTGTATGCCTGTATGTTCGGGCGAATGTTTGTTGTTGCCGTCTCCGCTGCTTGGAAGATCCCTCCTACTCCATGCTGGTGGTACACGTCGACTCTAGTCCCCCAGGCCAGAGTCTACGTGTGCCTCTACAGATCCCATACTCGCTATGTTGAGACAACTCGACTTTTCGAACACCTTAGTCGGGCAGCAGATGACGCGCAAGAACAATTTCCCAAAGCAGAATTGGTGTTTTTGGGGGAATTTAATGCTCACCACAATTGTAAATTGTGGTTAAGTTCCTCTAAAACCAACCATGCAGAGCTCTGCTCACGCATGACTTGAAGCAACTAGTCGATCAGCCCACCAGGATTCCAGATATTTCAAGTCAAGCACCTTTATTGCTGGGCCTTCTGCTCACGACCCATCCACAGGGCTGTCAGGTTGTAAGGGGGCTCTGGGCTCTTCGAATCACTGCCCGATATCTACCAAAGCGCCACAGACCAAGCCTCCGCGTCCAACGGTGGTACAACGCCGGATCTGTCACTATGGGTCGGCAGATTGGGACGGTATGCGTGACAACTTTGCGTCCGTCCCTTGGAAGCAACGCTGCTTCAGTGACAAGGACCTATCGGCCAGCGCCGTTGCTATTCTGAGGAGATTGTAATGATTATGCAATACTATATTCCTCATTCCAATCTCATCAGTAAGGACACACGTAAACTCTGGTTCAATCACCACTGTGCTGAAGCTGTTTCGCGTAAGCCGGCGGCATATCGTGCTTGGATCAGAAGCCGCGCTCTTAAGGATCCCGGGGTCGATTCACTAAAAGCAGTCTATAATTTTGCTTCCAAGACCTGTAAGAAGGATTACAGCGGATGCCCAGCGCGTTTCACGTGTTGGTCACGAACTTATAACGCATCCTTTCGGCTCCCGTAACTATTGGCGTTTGGCCAAGGCCGTGCAAAAGAACTTCTGCCAGCCCTCGCTGCCACCTCTGAAATTCCCTGACGGAACACTAGCTCATAAGCCACGGGAGAAAGCCGATTTACTAGCAAAACTCTTTGCGGCTAAAATCGATATTTGCAATGCACTGCCACCATCATTACCTCATTGTGGCACAACGATGCCTGATATTAAAATCAGGGAGCGTGAGGTTCGTGTCGAATTGCAATCACTCGACATCCGGAAAGCTGGTGGACTTGATGGCATCCCATTAGTAGTACCAAAAAAATGTGCAGCGGAGTTGTCTTCCGCTCTCACGCGCTTGTACTAATGCTCGTATTCTTTGGGGCGTGTGCCGGAGACTTGGAGAGATGCCAACATGCAACCGGTGCCCAAAAAAGGAGATCCCTCAGACCCGGTAAACTATCGGCCAATAGCTGTCACCCCAGTATTATGTAAAGTCCTAGAAAAGGTTCTTAACAACCATCTGACCCGCTACCGAGAGGATCAATCCCTGATTAATGATCGTCAATATGGTTTTAGACCCAAACGGTCGACGGGTGATCTTCTAGCGTACTTGACTCATATCTGGGGTGAGGCTATCGACAAGCGTGGCGAGTCGTTGGCTATCAGCCTTCACATTGCCAAGGCGTTCGTCAGGGTCTAGCACAAAAGCATTCTCACCAAGCTTCCGGCATACGGTCTGCCGGCACAGTTCTGTTTATTTATTTAATTCCTTTTGGGAATATTCATTGCGATGCATACGATAGTACAGTGCATGCGGGGTATCACGGGCAGGCGGTAACCAAGGAGAAACGGGAGAATCTTGTCATTGAATTCAATCAGGCTTTGGACCATATTTCTGAATGGGGTACCAGGTTTGGTTGAGTTCAATGCTAACAAAACCCAGGTCTGGGCTTTCACGGCAAAAACGTCGCCATTCCTTACATGTCTTGGAGACCTGAACAAGGTGCGGCGTTTTTTCACGCCCGAGCAATTTAACTGTGCTTATTGTATAAGGAGCAGGTCTTGCGTAGAATATTGCTCGTAATTCTGGGATGATTCCACCAAGTACTTGTTCGATGCTTTGGATGGGTTACAGCGGCGCGCGATCCGCATGATAGGCGATGAAGAGGTGACTAAACACCTAGAGCCTCTACAATTACGCCTTGACGTGGCGTCACTAAGCACGTTCTATCGTCTGTACCACGGCGAGTGTTCTGAGGAGTTATTCTATCTTATTCCACCTTCCCCTTTCCTTCATTGGATCTCGCGCGCTGACCTACGTTGTCACCGACTGACTGTGGCCACAATTCCAACGCGTACAAAGAAATTTGTTGACTCATTTCTTTGTTGCACTATCCGTAAATGGAATGCACTGACCGCTAACGTATTCCCTCCCTGTTAGAACCTGGGATTCTTTAAAAGAGGCGTTAAGAAGCAACATGCAGGCCGGCAGGGTGAGGATGGCTGGTGTGGTAGGTAGAACTGCCCAAAACGGGCCCCTCAGGTGTCGCGCGCTCTCGCAAATTAAGATACCTACTGGATGCAAGATGATCGTCGTAGAGAATTGATAAAAACTTTTTTAAATATATACAGGAAGACGCAATAAAATCTGTAAATTGAACCCCAAATATACATTGCAAAATATACACTGCACGGTAGCGCCCTCCAAATTCCGCACGGTCAATGGTCGCACTATGAAATACGTTAAAAAGCATTTTGGTGATGAAATTGAGTCCACGCCAAATTTTTGACCATGCATTCTACGCATGAAAAGACGTCTTTGCACCAAAAATGAGGCTAGGTTAATCTTGCGTCCGTATACCGGACGCATCAAGTCGGTCGGACGCAGGATCAATAGCAAAAATCGCCATATAAGACGCAACATGATCAGCAAGATGTATATATATATATATATATATATATATATATATATATATAGTTCATATTCAATTACAAGTGTTGGTATCAACACGTCATACTTAGTTCCAGCAAATGAAACGTGTT